TTTGGAAAATTTCTCCTGTATATTCGTGTATAATTTTTGTATACTTTACTTAGTATACAAAAAGTATACACGAAAGGACGAAATTCATAATACAAATAGTATAGTTTTATTATACTTTTAGTATACTGCAATAGTATACAAAAAGTATACTGCATGCAGTATACTCATTGTACTAATGAAGTATATTATTAGTATATATTATTTTGGTCAGGGAAATAAACCTAAAACGTAAACCATAATTAAGAAAGGGGACTGGCCAACATAAAAGGATAAAGTGGAACACGAACATTAAAATTTTGTGATTGACATTCACCGAAACCTTATTCATCGCGACCTTAGCAATCGCTAGAGGTCGCATTTGATTGAGAATGGCTGTAACTATATCAGTGAAAGAGATGGCCATCGTAATGTTAGAATTTACATAAAAATATGTCTTATCTGGAAACGAGACTTGTTATACAGGAATAATTACTGCCATTTTTTGCTACTTTTAAAATCGAAAATTACCTGCTTTGGTTGTGGAAGAATGTGGGGTACTTCCATTGACTGTAACTGCAGAATAAGATTTTAAATCATATTTAAGAATTATAAAGCCTGCTAGGAAACATGTTCAATAACCAGAACTAAATATCCAAGGAATTGGCATATTGAACATGAGAATTGCAAGGAAATCACTAAATATGTAGGGCAGGCGTAGTTAGCAGGTCATTGGACAAATGCAGGGATGTACCGTTTTTACTGAGAGGGCTAGGAGAGTATTTTAGTACATTTGATTTGACTGTCATACACTAGCATAGCAAATGCTATAGCTTACTTCTACTAGTTTTCATTAATTTTGGATATAAGGATTTAGTTTTATAATTGTAAGTTTTAGCATTCATTACAAATAGTCAATTCGAAAAATAATTTCTTAAAAAATGGAGGGGCTATAGCCTCTCTAAATCCCCTGGCTCCTACATCCCTGCAATGTCTGGCCAGCATTGGAATTTGCCCCATCAAATCTTCACTCTGCCCATGATTTTGAGCAGTAATGTTGAACCAGAAACAAGGTATGACCGACCAAAAATAATACTATATACTATATCAATGAAATACAAAACTTAGAAAATATTGTATGAATATGAGTGGCTACAATGCAAACTTAAAGTTAACTGTCCAGCTGACTAGCTAATGGTATATCAAGAAAGAATGAATTGCTCAAAGGAAATATGCATTAACCACAGGTCTCTTTTTAATTACCTACAGGTGTATCTTAATACAACAATACATATACTTTTAAAATAAAACCATACCTGGGTTACTTGGAGGTGTGGGACTTGCAATGGGATCTTTGTTTAGAAAAAATGCATAGTTAAAAAAACATTGATGGATGAATATAAATATATACAGCGCTTTGCAAAAATTCTGTAAATAAAATGAATATCAATATATCGATATTTCAGGTGCATTATGGGTAATTTTCAATTTAAAAAAACGTTTTAATAAAGGTTAAATACAATGTTTTCAGTGAAATATAATCATTGTGTAAAAATAATTGTGTAAATCATTATAATTAAAAAACCTACCTGGAAATCTGAAAATTAGTTTATATA